CAAAATTTAGGACTCTGAGCTACCTCTCCAGCACCATGTCTGTCTGCATGCCACCATGTCCCACCATGATAATGGACAAAACTTCCAAAACTGTAAGCCAGACCCAATTAAATGTTTTCCCTTATAAGAGTTGCTGCAGTCAAGGTGTCTCTTCACAGCAATAGAAACCCAAAGATACAGTGTTTCGTTTCTACTGGAGCTAATGAATGAATTCTATTTCGTACACACTGACTTATAAACAAGGCTCATTGGATGTGCTCTGATGTATCACATCTTCTATGCATTACACCATTTCGGGAAACACTCTCTCCCGGCCTTTATTACCCCCACATTAAATATGTCATTTATTATATTTTTCTCCAAACCATTTGTGTGATGGGACTGTACTCCTCTTAAGCAGAATTCTGTTATTGCTTCATTTCTCTGAGGACACTAGTAAGGTTTTTTTTTGTCCAAGTTGCCTTTCCAGGATTATTTACTTATTTATGTAGAATTCTGTCCTTCATATTAGGCACTTCCCACATATTGAGTAATTCTGTGTAAATCTGATGGCAGATCTGTACAATACCATCATGAGGTTGTTAACTCAGCTTCCTTAACGGAGGTTTTAGGTTGTTCTCTGTTGCTCAGAAACAGTATTTTTTAGTACCTTGCCTGGGGCATGAGGGCCTGTTTATTTTGGTTCTGAGATCTCAGCAGTGAGAAAATCGGGGTCTCATATCCACTTAATCACTCTTTTCAACATGTGTTTTTAATTTATTCATCAGTATCATTACCATTCCCCATTGCTGCTATTATTATCATTGAGTTGAGGGTGAGGGTGTGCGTGGAGGTCTTGGACAACTTTCAGAAGTCCATTCTCCCCTCCACTTTTGAGATGTTAGGTTTTCTGGTCATTTCCTCCTGACTATATTAGGGCTGTGCATTTGGGAAGATTGTTTTATGGATGGTGCTTTATTCTCTGCCTCAAACAAGGAGGAACCATAGCATCAGTTTTCTAAGGCTTAGCAAAACATTTGTCCATCTGCCTAGGGTTTTGCCTGCCAGATTTGTCTATTAGGAAGCTCTGTTTCCCCTTTTATAATTAATAAGTAATTCATGGGGCTATGCTTTCAAACCAGGAGACCTATTATTCCAAAGAATAGGAACCAATAGTTTTAGTATCTGCAGATGACTTCCTGAATCAGTAATGACTTTGATAAAAGAAAATGGCAATATCTACATTTATTGTTTCTTTTCCTAACTGGCCGGCATCTAATTATCTCTAAAATGGTTCTGATCAGTTCCTAGTTTTTAGCACCATGTCCCCACATTCAGAGTTTCCAGACACTGCCAGCGTGTTAAATTCTGTGTTTAAGCTGGGTTAATTCTAGGCTTAACTTCGTGACACTTTTGTTAATGCTGTTACCTCTTGTCTGCATGCTTTCTAGACTCCAAAACATAGCTGTCATCTTTGCCTTTTTAAATACATGCTGCTGTTGCTATTTCCACTAAACTTGTAAGAGTGAACTTCTATGTTTAACTCCACACTTTAACTGAATGCCCGTTATTCTTTTCCGTACTTCCAAGTTGAAATGGATGGCATGCAGTGTGGAATCTTCTGTGATTTGCTCTTTCTATGCAATACCGTGTTTTCTGAGATTTACCCATGTTTTAGACATCAGCTCCACTCCACTCATTTTTAATTAATGACGCTAGATCCCAATGTGTGAACATGTTTCAATTTCCCTATAAGTTTCTACCACACTCCTAAAAATACAAGATTTGGGCTAAGAGGGGTGTCTACTTTTCAAAAGGACACAGAGCTCACCTGTGTAATTTCAGTCAACAGGAAAATAGAGCTATATATGCAAAATGTCAAACTTTAGACATTTCATTTTGGCTACTTATAGAATGAGCCTAATGACAATGAGCACAGAGAACTCAATCAATGTCAGTCACATGGAGACAGCCCCGAAACAGGCCTCGAGAATTCAGAAGCAATATTCTTCTCTGAAAGTTAAGCTGCAAAATTGACATATTACAGGCCAGAGCAGAGGCATGGGAGGGTGAAAACCCAAGAAAGGCTCTGGGGCTGGCAGCATCTGACCACAGTACAACAGCTGTAATAGTAACCACGGTACAACAGCTGTAATAGTAAAAGACGATGTCATTCAGAAGAAAAGGAGACTCAAGGGACTCATGCTGATGGACAATCCAGATGAAGCTTGACCTGCACCTGACAAGTTTCTGTTCCAAACCACAAGGACGAAGAGATACACTGGTAACCACATGCAGTTCTCTCGAGCATTTGCCCTACTGTGGGTCAGACTCAGTTGTGACATGGATTGGATAAGCAACATTAAATAAACATGAAGCAATTAATGTTAATGTCACCTACTTCCCCTCATTTGAACACTAACTAAGCTTCTGCTCCCCTGCTTTGATAGTTTCCCACTGTCAACCACTAATGGACTTCATGTAACCATTTCATGGTCATTGGACAAAATGAGTCTCTGGAGCTTCCAGCCCAGAGCCAAGACCATGGTCCAGTAGGGAACCAATGTCGTGATGGTTGCGCCTACCCATCCACCCAACCTTTGCCTAGACTACAGCAGCATCCTTACCAAGCACTTTTGACTTGTCTTTCTTTATTGATGTTTTGAACTTCTTTTTCCCTTTCATGAGCCTGTATTGAAAATAAAATAGGGTGGTGGCACACGCCTTTAATCCCAGTACTGTGAGACAGGGACAGGCAGATCTCTGTGAGTTGGAGGCCAGCCTGGTCTACAAAGCTAGTTCTAGGACAGGCTCCAAAGCCACAGAGAAACCCTGTCTTGAAAAACCAAAAGAAAGAAAATAAAGTAGGCAAACCACTCTTTTTTACTGTCTGTAACCGTATCACTGAATCATCACGCATTTTCTCAACAATTAGCAAAAAGCATGGCCACTGTTCAAACAGAAAAGTTTATTTATTGTGCTTCCAACTATTCTGCTAGTCTGAAAAGAGCAATATTTTTGAACATTTGCTACTAATGGCTTCTAATAAAGTAAGAGTCAGGAAGTCTACCTAATTAGCTTCTTGAAAGAGCTCAATTTGTACTGCACTGCAGAGCAGGTGCTGAACCACACCGATGGACTATAACTGAGTGTGAGCTTCCTTGAAAACAGAGCAAGCGATGTTCAACTTGGAAATATGTTCAGGTTACAAGGTTCATCTGGAGTTGGATAGAAATTCAAGCTCATCACTCAAATCTGTCCACGAAAACCAACTGCACAATAACAAATCAAGCTCTGCATCAGGTGGTTACGATGCAAAAATGAATATGACTTAAGTCCTGTATTACTTTGCCTATGATGTCATCAGAAAGGTGAATAAATGAAGCAATAAACTTCAATGCTAAATTCCAAGCTTGTTAAGGTGTCCAAGCCAGAGTACTCAAGAAAGGAGTGATTAAATCTATGAGTTAAGAAGTTGAGGAGACAGCCAGGTGGTGGTGGTTCACACCTTTAATCGCAGCATTCAGGAGGCAGAGGCAGGCAGATCTCTGAGGTTGAGGCTAGGTTGGTCTACAGAGTGAGTTCCAGGACAGCAAGCGATACATAGAGAAACTGTCTCAGGAAAAAATTAAAAAATAATAAAAGGAAGGAAGGAAGGAAGGAAGGAAAGGCATCCTAGGGTTCTAATGAACCTTGCAAGAGGAATTAAATATAAGCAGGTATGTCTGTATCCTGATGGCAACAGGAAGAAGCATTAGACCCAACAGAGTCCCAGGAGCTCCTCTGCAGATCAGGGCAGGTATAAGGAGACCAGGGGATGGAGTTAGCAAGCTTCAGGAGGGACAGACGCTCCACTGGCCAGAAGAACACCCCAGGAGCTGTACTAGAAACGATCCCTGCTTCCTTCAAGTTGGTCAGTGTCACAGTATCTGAGTTTATAACAAAGTGCAAGGCTTCAAACATATTATTCTAAAAATCTAAAGACTGGTCTCCCCAAGGCTCTCAGGGTGGCTAGCCATCCTCCTGCCTCAGCCTTCTCGGAGGATAGCATTACAGGCAACTGGTTAAGAAAGTGGTTCTTCCACCCTTGTTAAAATGTTTTTATAGTTTTGAAAAATTCCATAAGATGTGCATGCATTGCAGTCATGCAGTCAAATGGTCTTCTGAAATATTCACATCCATACTTACAGCCCCGGGCTGCTCTCAGCCTTGGCCAAAGATTGTTTTCACAGTGACTTTAGTCAGGGTGAGACATGCCGTTCATTAGGTGCTGAGAACAAGAGGCTGATCAACACCTCCTGCCAACTCCAAGGTTCAGGGAATGCCGTGGAAGAGCAGGAGAAAAGAGTGTAAGACCTGGGGACAGGGAGAAGTGCTCCACAATGCCATCTTCTGGATGTGACACAGCCACTCTACTCAGGAGCTCACAGAGGCTGAGGTTATCTGTACAAGGTCAAACCTGCCAAAATTCTAGCATTTGCTCTCCATGCCCGGCCCCTTAATGAGAAGCCATTGACACTTGATGGATGGGGGGGGGGGAATCATTCTCTTTGAGGATGCTCCCCCTGGTAAGTTTCCTGTGCAACTATGTGGCTGCTCCCACGAAGGAGTGGCGCTAAAGGGACTCAATGGACTATGGGAAAAGAAGAAAAACAAAAAGACTCATGAAGTTGAGAGAGGGCATGATGGGAGGAGATATGGTGGAGAGAAACGGGAAAGGATACAATCATATTTCACTGAACACATGCATTAAATTCTTAAGATTAATAAAAATAATTACAAGATATGTGAAGAAAGCACACGTGCATTTTATCATACAATATTTTACTACTATGTAATGCAAATACATTGTAATAATATATTATTCTACTAGAAATACTTGAGAATTATTTCTTACAGAGTAAAATTAATACTCTGAGATGTCTTATATTTTTCCCAAGAATTTACATGTCTGTAGTAGTAGAACTGCTTAGCTGGGAAGCACAGCATTACAAGCATGAACTATGTGAATATTTTCTTACCTCCATAGTAGGCGGGGTCTTTCTTGTTTTTCTAATCCATGCTAGAATAAAAAACAGCATTTCAATGTCTGCTTGCCATAAATTACCCAAATTAAACCTTTTTCCCGTTTTCATTTTTTTTATTTGGGACCCAACAGCATGTGTGTAGGTCAGAGGGTGACCCCCCCCCCAAGTCAGTTCTCCCCTCCACTGTGCGGCTTCTGGGGATGGAGCTCAAGGCATCGGCTTTACCTGCTGAGCCATCATGCTGGCCATAGATAAACATTCTAGTCACTCATGCCTGTGAGATATTTTTGAACCTCTGTGACGAACTATATTGAATACTGTTTTAAATAACATACTGGAGCTTTAGCGCGCGCACACGCGCGCGCGCACACACACACACACACACACACACACACACACACAGAGGACATAGGGTACAGGAAGTAAACTCACAGATGTATAATGTCAGATGGTGATCTGTGCTGTGAAAAAAATACCAGACTGTCAGGAGGACAGTTTCAGATCTTCAGAAGTCACAGCTCATAACCATCAGAATTCACTGCAGTCGATTTATGGCACGAAGGGCAAATCACAATAAAATTAAAGGCAATGACAAAATTATATTATTCTTGAAAACTGAATTTGTAATTGCCAAATTTATCAAGGACTTAAAAGTTTTTATTACAGAAACTGTTCTTCTTATATGCTCTAGTAAATGATTTACAATATTTTCAGCTGCTTCTTTATGGCCAAAATAAGTGATTTGTTGATTTCCCCCCCAGGAAAGAGGTTGGATTTAAAATCATTCAGTGTAAGTTCTATACCTTTAAAAAGTTTCAGATAATTCTGCAGCTGTAATTCACATTAGAAACTTAGTTCAGAACAATCAACCACCAGGACAGAACTCAGCAAATTTGAGACTCAAGTTAAATTCAATCTACTGCTTGTTTTTACATCTTTATGTGGCTTTTAAAAAATGTCAAAAGATGCTTATTTCATGACATATGAAAATTATAAGTAACTTAAATTTTCAGTGTCTATAAATAAAATTTTATCAAAGCACAGCCATGCTGATTAGTATCTATGGCTACCGCAGCAGAATTGAGCAACTGCAATAGCCCAAATGACTCACAGAGTCCAAAATGCCATCTGGTCCTTTAAAGAAAACGTGTGCCAGCTCCTAGGGCTGTCATTTAGTGCAGTCCACTCAGCAACACATATACATCTAATGTAAACCACTACCATATTGCCTAAAACAAACTTCATGATTACCTAGTATGTAGTTTACTAATGGTTACTGTCTATTCTAGAGTCTATAAATACATACCAGTGGGCATGAGATTGTGAGGAAAACGTGCATAATACATATTATGATCATGGGAAAATAATTGTCACACTGGTAAATCCACAAACCAGCATTTTCAGATTTCTTCCAACATTGGAAAAATATGTTTTATTGAAACCAAAGCATAAAAACAAAACAAAAACAAACCTGGATATTGAACCCAAGGGCCTTGTGCAGGGCGGGCAAGCACTGTACTACCAGGTTGTACCCTAACTCCTCATTTAAAAAGGTTTCAATAAAGGTGAAGGCATTGGAGGAAACTATTGCTTGTTGTCAAGTGTCAGTTTGAAACTAATTGTCAGTTTTGAAGGAACATTTTATGAGATGAAAACTATAGAGAATTAAGTTTTTCAGTGTCTAGAAACCATACTGTATTGAAATGTGTTTTCTGATGTTTATTGGTTTTAAGTTTAAAATATCCATTTGTGAGTTTAAGGATGTAGTAGAGCCCAGATGCTGAGTACTGAGTGCCATCTAGTCACTGTCACCGGAGGCACGTCATTCTCCGAGGAAGGACCAACCGGAGGCTCCCTGCCTGTCCCGTGGTCCCCGTCACAAACACACACACACCCGATTCACCCTAGATGATCACTTAACACTCTTTGTAAATGTTAACTGCTGCAACAACCTCGGGTATTTGTGATTCTTCAAAAACCAGGCACTGAAACGTTAGCTGATGGCTGCTGGTACTACTGTTTGTTGTGTATCCGGTAAAGACCACAGCCGGACACGGCCCAGAGCATCACTCATTTTGACAGTCGGACCCACTTCCTCAGTAGCACGGGTCACCAGGAGAAGAGGAGATGGAAAAGCAAAATTACTGAAGCATGAATTTTAAATATCAAAACAATGTAAATAGCAACCCCATCCAATTGCCAATCATAAATAGTTCTTGCTATTGGTAAAATGTCTGTAAGGTGAGTTCTGTGCGGGCCCTCTTTGTAGTTTTACCATTGTTTAAAGAGAAGTCAGCAAAAGGGCTGGGCAGTTAATGCTCTAAGACCCTAGCAGCCTTTTGCCAGCCTCATTTGCATTCCCATCACTATGTATGAACCTTAATACTCCCGTGGCACACACAAACTATATTGAGTATAAAGGTGAACATGCAATTAAGGCTCCCATTAATCATGTAGAGAGACTAAAAGAAGCAGGGAGAATAATACTTCATGAGGCATACTTTCTTTAAATCTCTGCAGGTATCAGGATCCTTCTAGAAACACTGCCATCCATCTATGGTAAATCAGATCTCCTACCACCAGGTTAATAGGTAAGCGAAATCAAAAGTACAAATATGTTAACGTTTGCACCCAAAATATATAAATTTGAAAGTTTTTTATTTCACTTGAGGAAGATACTCAAAGTTTCATAATTAAAAAAAAAAAGAAAAGAAAAGAAAGAAAGAAACAAGAGACCCTCATCAGTCCTGAGTTTTGGCACTTCATAGCAATAAATAAAGGTTCACCTTCTTCAAGTCTGAGAAATTCTTTAAAAAAGACGTATTGTGAAATGAATCGTTTTCTGGTAACTGAGCTTTAAATATATCTGACAGATAGGCAAGGTTTACCTGGTGACCTTTAGGGTTCAGGTTGGCTTCTTGAGTATGCAGCAAAAAAATGAAGCTTCGTCCTAAAACTGCAAGGGATGGACAGTGCCAGCCAGCACCCAGGCAGGGGCTCGTCTGGCTGCATCACAAGGTCCTCCCTGGAGAACCCAGCTAGGCTCTGCCTGGGCTCCTGACTCACACAGATTCTGGGGTAATAAGAATGTGCTGTTGGAGTAGTTCGGGTTCGGTATACTTACAGCACAGCAAGCTCACCAGCTGACCCTTGTATTGCTGTGCCCTACTCCACTGCCTGGAAATAGGGCAGTTTGTTTAGCTGCTTGGGTAACTGAAGCTTCCACATAGAACATGGGCCAAGTATTTAGGTAGCCCGACTTATGTCTTCATGTCTCTGGGTAAATACCTAGCAGAGTTTCTAAACTGTGGATAGGTGTATGTTCACCTTTATAAAGAATTGATAAATTATTTCTCAAAGCTGTTATACTATTATTTTATATTTCAGCCAACAATTTACAAAAGGTTGAGCGAATTTTACAATGCTCATTCTTACTTAAATCCTAACATTTCTCAGCAGTAAACTGTCTTGATAAAACAGGTTAAATTGTTTAATCTCCCAATCTTGTTCTTGTTCAAAAAGTGTTTTAGGAATTCTAGGCTTATTACATGTGGATATAAATCAAGTCAGAATCAGTGTATCAAGTCTTTCAAAGCTAGGAGTGTTGCGGGGGTGTTTGCATGCCTCTGGATATGATGTGGATATAAGAGGCATCCTCTATCACTTTCTACATTTAAAAACACGCGCGCGCGCGCGTGTGTGTGTGTGTGTGTGTGTGTGAGAGAGAGAGAGAGAGAGAGAGAGAGCGCACACGCATGCATGCACACGCGAGCATGTCTTGCGAGGTGTGTGTGTGTGTGTGTGTGTGTGTGTGTGTAGAACAGAAAACAGCTTGCATGAATTGGCTCTTTCTGCCATGTAGGTCAGGAAATTGAACTTAAGCTGTTGGGTTGGTGGTGGGTGCTTTTATCCGCTTCTCATCGGCCCATCTGTGCCTTGTTTCTTAAGATGGGGTATCTCACTGAACTTGGGGCTCACTGATTGGTCAGGACGACTAGCCAGTGGCCCTATTATCACCCCATCTCTGCTTTTCAGCACTGGGTTACAGGCATGTACCATTATACCTGGGTGTTGGGACCCAAGTTCAGGCTTTCATGCTTGCATAGCAAGCACTTATCTGCCGAGCCTCTTCCCAGCCTTTGACTTTCTCATGTTAAAACAACCCATCAAGCTAGAATAACTCCATATAGTCATCATGATCTAATACTTGGGGGTGGCTAGTATTTTAGGGATTAAATGCAGGGTCTTGCACATGCCATCAAGTGACCTACCACTGAGCTATATTTCTCACCCCCCTTTTATGTTTAGTTGGAATAGCTCTCATTGAGTAGTCCAGCCTGGCCAGAATCACCACCTTCCTGACTAGACTAACTGTATAGCCTCAAGTGGCTGGGATTACAGGTATACACAGCACAGCTGGCTCACCTTTGATACATTGCAGGTTTAGGTTGCTGACATTGAGTCTGTGTTAATGTGGGACCCTGGTCTGTAGTATCATCTCTCTATTGTTTCTGTCAGGATTGATAAACAGGATACATTGGGCTTCATAAAACTAGTACTGGTTACATTTTTAGAAAGAATGTGTGGCCCAAGGTGAACAATGTCCATTCTTTACATGCTCAGTGGAAATGTTCTCTAAATGCCAATTAGGTAAAATCGGTCAATATAATTATCTTTTATATCATTCTGACAAGCTTTGCCTTCAGTGTGCTCTTCTTAGACCTAAATTTATTTTAATTATTTACAGTCAGGTGTAAACCTAAAGATGTTTGTAAATGTATATTTACAGCATTATCTTGCACAATAACCAAAAGATGGAAGCAAGCCAAGCCAAGTGTTCTCCTGTAGATGAACGCATAAACTGTGACTATGTACAATGGGTTCCACAATTCATCCTGAAGGGAATGGAATTCTGACATGTGCTATGACATAGACAGCCATGGGCATGCTGTGCTAAGTGAAATAAATAAGCCAAACACAAAATTAAAATCCGATTCTACTTATGACATGTCTAGAACAGTCAAATTTGTAACAACAAGTGGTAGAATGGTGTTCAAATTTTTGAGGGCGGGAGTTTCAGTTTGGAATGATGAAAAACATTCTGGAGATGAACAGTGCTGAAGCTTGAATGTACATAATGTCTGAGATGTGCCACTTAAAATACCACGAAAGCCACCTTACTGTATTTAAGTGTTGAGGTAGGCCCTGAAAGTCAAGTCCAGGAGAAGGGGGTTGAAAAGCAAGCGGGGAACTTGCTACAGTGTGTTAAGAGGTCATGGAGGGCAGAAGTGAGCAAAGACAACAAAAGGTGTCTCTTCGGGGACCATGGGTTTACTAGGAGTGGGATCAGGAAAGAGTCAAAGGGGAGCATCATCCACCCCACACCGGAAGGAAAAGGAGGTAGTTTAAATGCAACATTATACAGTACAATAAAAGAGAACTTAATACAATGCAATGAGCGGAAGAGCTGGCGCCGTAGCTTGGCAGTGCAGCCCTTGCCTTGCCATGTCCAAGGCCCTGGGTTCAATCCTGACAACAGGAAAGCAAAACGTCATAGACTTAGAAGACAGATGATGTAAGTCCAAAGCCTGAAGCAGCTGTTAGCTTTGGGAAGGTTTTGAGCAGTCTTGACTCAGCAGGAGGGACCAGGAGTTGAGGGAAGTCTTCAGTGTCTCATCTACCCACATCAGCTTTTCCTACTGAAGGAATTTCTGCGCTCCTCTGCTATGGACCAGCGCTGTGTACCTTCTCTTCTCAAGGGCTTTCAGCTGATACATTCTTTCTTTGGGGTTGGGTCTTCCCCATCACTATTGAAAAACCCTCTCATTTCCCGTCTCCAAGACAGCCAACATAAATCCCTTTCTCCAGCCTGTCTTTCCCTCTGGGTATGGTCTTGTGGCTTACTTCTTTACAAATAACACCATCTCTACTTAATCTCCCCAACTGTTTTTGTCAAGATCAGTACTGGCCTGTCTGATCTTAAGGCAAATGGTTAATCTTCAGGTTTCAGGTGACAATGCACATCACATCTTCCTTCCTGATGACCGGCTTCCAGAATGTGAAACCTTTAACTTTTCTCCTTATGTTCTTGTCATTCCTCTTGTCTCCATTGTTCTAACCCAGGGAGCACAGGCTCCAGCCTTTCAAGTACTTCCCGTCTACACTCATTGGATTTGTGATTTCATCCTACCTCACAGACTTAAGGCAGCGTTTGTTTGCTGGAAACTCCATGTTTTTAATTTCAATCCGGATATTTCCACTGGATTCCCCCCCCCCAACAAGGTTTGTCTGTGTAGTCTTAGTTGTCCAGGACCTCAGAGATCTGCCTGCCTCTGCCTCCTGAGTGCTGGGATTAAAGGTGTATGTCACCACCACCCTGCTCCACTGAATTCTTGACTCACAATTTCCCATTTCTAACCGGATGTTGAACAGGCTCCTCCAATTTCCCACTTCCAAAGCTGGTCTCACTCCCCCCTAACCTGTTCTCCTTACTGTTGGCAGCTGCTGCATTTTCTCAAGAGTGAGACCACAGCTCACATTCTTTGTGCCCAATGTGTCAGCAACCCCACTGGCTCTACGCTTACATTGCCTCCAGAGGGCACCTACTTCCTCCCATCCCTGCTGCTGGTCTGCTCCAAATCACAACCATTCCTTGTCTTCAGATTAGAAAACATTCTCACTCCATGTTTTCACGACATTGTCCTCACATTCTCCTAATGCAGTAGCCAAACTGATCCCTTTATCTGGAAGGTAGCATGTGGCTACTCCTCAAACTTCTCAGTGGCTTCCAAATGTCCTGGAAGGAAAGGCTGGGGCCCTTCCGACAGCCCACAATGCTGCCCACCAGATCAGGCATTCTCTTAGCCCTCTACACATATCTCCCGTAGCTTTCTCTAACCTCTATTCCAGTCAAATTGGCTTCCTTGGCCTCAGGGCCTTTGCACTCTTAGTAAAGTCCCTCTCTCATTGTGGCAGAGACAGATCTTCCGTCGGGCTTTATGAACAACAACAACAACAACAACAACAAAACCAAAAACAAACAATCCAGAGGGTCTTTCTGAATACTATTTAAAATCGCAAAAGCTTTCACAGTCTCTATTTGTCCCGTGCCTGTTTCATTTTCTATGGTTATTATCATATTATGTAGTTTGGTGCTTAATCTAGTTCAGTTTGTCTTCTTCCACTCCGGAATGTATGCTCTAGGAAGCCAACAGCTTCCTGGGTAAATGAGTGAAAGCCACACTATTTATTTAGTCCTGATTGGATGATAGCAGACAACTGATAGGTACCAGTGCTGTAATAGTAACAATTAAAAATGTCAACTTTTATTCATCTGGATTGAAAACAGGCTCACTAGGTGTTGGTATCAATGACTTCCCAGCCCCCACACCCCACACCCCGATTTCCCTGTGCATAGTGTTGTGTGTACTCGTTAATATTTTCACAGTACAAAGTACTTATTCTTTATACTTAATTGATGTGTGCCACTGTAAAAGTGCTTGTGTTTCAGTATTTGGCTGATTTATATTTTTTAAGAATATGCCCCATGGGGACGGTATGCTGAATTACTAGATCAGGACAGAGTCGTAAAAAGCATTAAAACTTCATTCCAATTCTCTGCAAGTCTCAAAGGCTGAAAAATTAGCCATTACCTATTTGTTTATTTATAACTTAATTTATTCCTATAAACCTTTTAATTCTATACTATTATTGGGAAAATGACAAAATAGGCTCATAAGAAGGCACAAGCATTATTCGAGATTTGCAAATGTAGGCAATCTCGGAAAATAAAGTTCAATTGCTCCTTCTAGAAGTTGCCAACTTAGAGACTGCATTCCACAAGAGAACAAGCTCAGTTTTCAGCCATATGTAGCTCTTTTCTCAAAGTTAATAGTCAGTGAGCAGAAACGGGTATCACTGCAACAGTATTTACAGGTACATGTAGCCGTAAGTGGAACATAAAAAAAATACGGCTACCACATGGGAGCTACCATGTTGTGACCACCTAGAAGCAAGGGCTCTATGTGTACGGAGCTGTGTAATCCTAGCAACTGATCTCAACTTACTGGACCTTAGATACTCTATAGATGAAACATAGTAAATACATGGTCTGAATTACAGGATTGCTATTATGGTCAAACATAATAATGACCACAGGGAAAGGGCATATATACCCCAGGTAACATGTGGCAAGTATTAAGCTTGTAGAAGACAGATGTGGGTATTTTAGTCAAGTCTTTTATTTTTAGTGTTTGTGTGTACATGTTTTTGCATGTGCACACACACAACCCAACACATGTGTGCTTATTTACACAGGCCAGAGGACAACATTGGGTATTCTATTACTATCTGTTTTATTCTCTGGCCTTGATGTTGAGGCAATTCCCATGCTTCAGTTCCTAAGTGCTAAGATCATAGGCAAGAGCTTCTATATGGAGCCTTCTATTTCAACTTCTGTCTTCAGGTAGGGGTCAATTATCTATTCTTCATTTAAGAGGAAATCAGGTAACAGGGTCCTCATGAGTTAGATAAATACTCCAAAAAGCATCTAATGTAAGTGTTCCATACAAGTCACAAAGAAGAAAATGAAGACCCAAAATATGTTATTTCCAAAGTTCAAGAGTTGGTGAATGCTGGGAAAAGAGCTCTGGCCTGGGGGCTGTGTGGCTGCAAGGGCAAGGCATGAGTATACTCCTTGAGTCTCACATGGTAGGAACTTGACAACTCTTGGTGCCGGGCATGCACTCCCTTAAATTCTGTACCTTTACAAATTGTAAATAAATGCAATGTTCCAGAAATAAAGTTTTAAGGTGTTTCCATGGAGAAGTAGCTATGTACTCATTGAATGCCTTTCAAAACATCCTGTTGGAGGTGAACACTTACCTTCCCACTCTGTTGGGATGTTTCCTGCTTCATAGTCTAGCTCTTTTCTGTTTGCTGCTTCTACAATTCTTTTCTCTCGAATAATCTGTCCTGCAAGATCAAGTGAACATTTGACATGAGCCTACGCCATGACAGGTTCTATCTTCTCTTTTGATTATTGTATACCACTTTATATGCAAAATCATTAAATTATCAAGAGAAAGAATAAATTTTGCTCAGAGTTATATGGTGGAGAAGGCAGTTCTTAAACTGTGGCAAGTTTTAAATACTTTTTAGCATTTCACGAGAAATTAATTTTTGTTTGTTTTTTGAGACAGGGTTTCTCTGTATTGTTTTGGAGGCTGTCCTGGAACTAGCTCTGTAGAGCAGGCTGGCCTCTGCTTCCCAAGTGCTGGGATTAAAGGCATGTGCCACCAACGCCCAGCTAGAAATTAATTTTTTTATAGAACAAATCTAGATTCTATTTAAAGAGAGCAACCAATACTGCAGGATACTAATAAATAGTAAATACACTAATAAAGTGTCTGACTCTTAAAACTCAGTGTATATATTAAAAGAGTCACTAGCTGCTGTGATTGCCCAAGGGACAACCCTTAGAAAGTGTGTAAGAGAGGACAGACTTGCTGTCGCTCTCTTCCCATTGTACACAGGGCTGCTTCTGTTCCCACAACACACTAGGTTGGAGCCTGTGCCCCACCTGATTCACTACCTCAAGGGAATGTAAGGACAAGAGACGGGTGAGTGCTGGGTAAGGCATGCCAGGAGAAACTTCAGGTTCAGAACTTTTCCTCTCAAGTCTCCTTTCCTTATCTGTGTCCACAGCTGAAGTGGACAGGTGGCAGCACAGAAGTAGGAAAACAGAAAGCAAAGAGGAATATGGAGAAAAGCTACCGGCAAATTTCCTTGATGAACACAGGGAAGTCCTCAGTAAATGTAACAGCTCATTAAAAAGACCGACCGCAGCCAGATAAGCATGCCTTTCTCCAACACTACCTACCCAGCACTCTTTGTTTGTTTGTTTGTTTGATTGTCTCTATTGGCAAGGCAGGCTGAACAACGGACTCCATGGACTCTGTCCTGTCAGAACTGGGATTGCAGATGTGTGTACCATAACTGGCTTTTGACTTGAGTGCTGGGGATCCAAACTCAGCTCTTCATGCTTATGTGGAAGGCATCTCACCTACTAAGCCACTTCCAAAGACACCCAAGATGCATACAAATATAGTTGGTTACTATAAACAGGGCTTGCACATCACTTACTAAAATGTTTGAGAATCAGAATACGTAAGTCCTCATGTAGTTTTTAATCTAATATTAATATGTAAGCATGTTCTTTTTGTAATAACATCTAGATAAAGGAAAACAATCATCTAAAATACAAAACAGAATGTTTGTGGCCTATAATCTTTTAAGTGTACTTAAGAAAGTTTGGCACACGGGGGAGACAGAGAGGTCTGTAGCTCCCAGGAGCACCGCTAAAGAATATTTGCTAATGTAAGGGGAAATTAATAACTAAAAGATACGGGACTCATGGCAAGAAGGGAAAACCAGAAAGAACAAGTGTTTCTGCCAATAGATATAAATAACTCCCTGCCTCCCATTATCTTAAGGACAAGGCCACTGATCCCGCTGGTCCTAGAGAAACTCCCCTAACCTTGCAGGTACGCTAAACAAGCCCATCTTGTAAAAACTTTGTTCTCTATGAAAGCTGGGTAACCTTGGAAACCAACAGTCTCAAACCTCCCTTTCCCTTTAAAAACGCTTCACAATTGTAAGCGGGCGCCTTACTCTTCTGATAGAGTGAGGTCCTAGCCGGTTCGGTTCTTAGCAATAAAAACCTTTTGCTTTTGCAGTTGGGAGTCACTTCCTTGGAGGTTGAGGAAACCCAGTAGGCACAACGGTATAGGTATATCTGTGACACAAAAATTAGCCTTTCACAGGCAGATCTCTGTGAGTTCAAGGCCAGCCTAGACCAGGAGGGCATGTAGGTCTTCCTATTCCAGCCCCTGTCACTGAACTTTAATGTATCTAGACATTCACTGCAGTGTACAGGCAATTGTTAGAAAATAGAAAACACACAAAATCCCATCATCTGAAATAGCCTATTACTAACACTTAATAGACTTTATATAGATACACATATCAGACAAACACACACACACACACACACACACACACACACACACGCTGTCAAGGATATATTCATGCAGAAGCTTTCTGGTGCATAAAATATGAAAATTCTCATGTTATTCTTCCTACCTTAAAAAAAAAAACTGAATCCAGTTTTTGAGTATATTTTGACATTTTGATGAAAAAGAAGGTAGCTCTGTGTAAGTATGTTAACATTTTCTCCCCTCTGATGTGTTTTAAATGTGTAAAGATGAAACTTGCTGCTTTAAGAATTAGCAATCAAACCTACAAGCTTAGTTCCAAACCTATGACATGTGAAGGCTCTGTGCACAAGCCACCTTTCCTGGATACAGGTTGCTGTCACCCCTCATCAAAGGAGCCTCCCTCTCTATACAGAAAATGCTGTAAATCCAGGACTGGATACAATGCAGAGAGCTGCACTGCACGCTGAGCCAAGCTCTGACAGATACATCTGCATCACAGCTCCTGCATTTGGGCTCAGGGGACACAGTGAGAGGGGTGAAAGGTCATAAACGCCTTAACACCAGTGTCTTAATTACTTTTCCATTGCTGTGACAAAACACCATGACCAAAGCAAACACCTCTTCCAACAAGGCTGCATCTCCCAATCCTTTCCAACTGGGCCAACCAACTGGGGACCAAATTCTCAAACATATGAGCCTGGGAGCCATTCTTACTCAAACCACCACAAGCAGAAAGTCTGCTGTGAAACGGCTTCTTCTAAAACTGACTGCTTTAACAAGACGATGGTAATATCAGCAGACATGTGTATTAGAAGTGAAGAAATTTCATGGGGTCTACCTATAACAAAATCTTCAGGTAACCAATGGCTACCAGGAGGAGGAGAATTAGCCTCTTCCAGGGAGAAGCCCCTTATTGGATGTCCAATGTGCAGTGGTCAGCCTTCAAACCATATGCACACAAACAACAAATATGGACACAGCAGGTTTTATTTATATATACTTGGGCACACACGCATACATACATAGCAATAATAAATGCACCGCAGCAAAGCAATGTGCTCTGTCCCCTCCCTACAGCCTACCTATCATCTTTTATATTTTTACTCAAAAGAAGAAGGGATACTAGAGACAGTGAAGTGTTTCCAGGAATTCCATGAGATTATCAGGCATGCACCTTAAATGGTGTGTGTGTGTGTGTGTGTGTGTGTGTGTGTGTGTGTGTGTGTGTGTCTGAAATGCCACGCCACACCCCACTGATAGAGATTGAAAGGGCTGGATCCTTTATTGTTGGATAAAGTCCTATAAAACAATAACCATAGTATGTTCTGTTGGCAAAGATATGTTGTTTTCTATTACTTATCCACCATTTTCAGGAAATAGACTTTATTGTTAGTCTTAGGATGTTTTCCCAAAGGATGTCATGGTCTTGCATTTGCTAGGCAAAGTTTTCTACCATTGAGCTACAGTTTGAGTTCCATTAATTCTTACCAGAAATGATCTTTAAAATTTCTTTTAAAATGTATTTAACTCTGTTTCATGTGCATTGGTGTGAAGGTGTCAGGTCCCCTGGAACTGGACTTACAGACAGAAGTGAGCTGCCGTGTGGGTGCTGGGAATTGAATTTGGGTCATTTGCAAGAGCAACCAGTGCTCTTAACCACTGAACTACCTCTTCAGCCCCAAGTTAAAAAAAAAAAAAAATCTGGTGTATGTACACAATACATATACTTACTTCTCATTACCTTCTCTAAGTACATCCCACTTCTCATTACCCTCTTCTATTCCTGCTTACTCCTTTTCTCTAACACATCCCCCTCCTGCCTTCGTGTATCTTGCGTGGTGCTTGTGGGGCCCACTGAGTTTAACTGAGGTTGCTGGCATGAGTTAGGGTTTTTTACTGAAGCACAGACGGCTTACTAGTATCTCCACCACGAAAGAAAATTACCTGGCCTCCCCTAGCAACTATTAACTGACAATATCTCTCCTCAGCTAGGGGTGGGGACTCATGGGTCCCTCACCATTCATGATGCAATGTTAAAGGGCCCATCATGTGTAAATCTTAGGCAGGCAACTCTAGCTGCTATAGGTCCATGAATTCAGCAGCCATCCTAATCTGGAAGCCAGTGTTTGATACTGGCTTATATATAGTTGTGCTGTGTTTGGGGAATAATGACAAGGGAAATGCATACATGTTTAATACAGATGGCTTAATTTAAAAGCTGTGTTTTCATATGAGCCTTACAATTCAGTATGGTGGTGGTATATTACACATGTAACTTCCAGAATACTCCCCTGTGCATTCAGGAAAGTTATGAGGCTTGGCCGTGTAAGTCATTTCCAGTGCTTTGCACTGTAGCTAATGTTGTAATGAATACCCTCATGCATATGAATTATTAATACAGTCATTCTTAAACATATAAAAGAGCTCCTATGAGTCACTAAGAAAAGACCAACAGTAAACAGAAAAATATCCCAAGGACATGATCAGATAATCCAGAGAAAAGAAAGACAAAAGCATTTAGCATGAAATGCCAAGTGCTTGCACAAAAAAGGCTATTTAGAGCCTACTGTAGGAGCTAAACCTGGCAACTTTTATATGCAAGAGTTTAGAAACAGTTGTCAAAATTGCAAATGCAGGTTCAACCTGAACAGCAATTCTAGAAATTTTATCTATATATTCTCACTTATTTGAAAGACACATAAAAGTTACTCACGGCAACACTGTTTATAATGACAAAAGGCTAGGAATTACTCACAGATATATTCCTCAATGAAACCAAGGAAAGAACATGCTGCACCATTCTCTGTACTAGTCCATGTCTACTTAAAAATTATAAAACTGAAGTGAAAGAATTTAAGAAAGCAGAAAGGGTGCAAGGTTGGAAAACAAAATGTCAACACGTCTTTTTGTATTCGTGTGTAAGAAGTGCTAAGGTAGGGTACTAAGGAAGAAAAGAGAATTATGCCCAGCAGTCTG